GTCATGTACCTTTTGATATTCCGGCAGATATTTACGCTGGATGGGACGCAAAAGAAGCAGGTGCAACTGCCGAAGCAGCATGGAATGAGAAGTTCGCAGCTTATGCTGTAGCTTATCCCGCTGAGGCTGCTGAGTTCGAACGCCGTATGGCTGGAGATCTTCCAGCTAATTGGGCAGAGCATGCGGATAAATTTATCGCAGAAGTTAATGAAAAAGCACCAACTCAAGCGACTCGCATCTCTTCAAAGATGTCACTAAATGGCTTTGCTCCCATATTGCCTGAATTCCTTGGTGGTTCAGCGGACTTGACTCCTTCTAACAACACCTTCAACGAATGCAGTGTCAGCATCAACGACCAGCACGGCTCTACTGATATGAACTTCGAAGGCAACTACATCTCTTACGGTGTACGCGAATTCGGCATGTCCGCCATTATGAATGGTCTGACCTTACACGGCGGTCTATTGCCTTACGGTGCAACCTTCTTGATGTTCTCTGAGTACGCGCGTAATGCACTTCGCATGGCAGCATTGATGAAGATTCAAAGCATCTTTGTTTACACCCATGACTCTATCGGTCTAGGTGAAGATGGCCCGACTCATCAAGCCATTGAGCAAATCCCAACACTGCGTATGATTCCTAATATGAGCGTATGGAGAACCTGTGACGCGGTAGAAACAGCCGTTTCATGGAGAGCTGCAATTGAAAAGAAGAATGGCCCTTCTTGCTTGATCTATTCTCGTCAAAACCTAGCACATCAAACACGTTCTGATGAGCAAATCGCCAATATCGCCAAGGGTGGTTACATCCTTAAAGATTCTGACGGCACACCAGAGGTTATCGTTATTGCAACAGGCTCTGAAGTAGACCTAGCGATGCAAGCAGCGGCAGCTTCCGAGAAGAACGTTCGCGTGGTGTCTATGCCATCAACAGATGCCTTTGATGCACAAGATGCGGCTTATAAAGAATCTGTACTTCCAGCAGCGGTTACAGCACGTGTTGCAGTTGAAGCAGCAATACCAGATGGTTGGTACAAGTACGTTGGCTTGAACGGCAAGGTGATCGGCATGACAACCTTCGGTGAGTCTGCCCCAGCGCCTGAGTTATTCAGTACTTTGGCCTTTACCGTTGAAAAATGTTGTTAGGCGCAATCACGAAGTAAGCATAAAATTCAACCCAACAAGGCCTTTGCAGAGAGGTCTTGTTGTAAAAAGCTTGAAACTACTGTCGATGCGAACGGCCTATGTAAGTACTGACCAAAGCCTTCGGGAGCAATGAAAAGAGCACATACAGTGTTTCATCTTCAAAAGATTTATTTTTTATAAAAAATTATTTTTATTCTATTTTTCAGGAGAAAAATTATTGACAATTAAAGTCGGTATTTAACAGATTTGGTCGTATCGTCGCATGGCATTTCGTGCGATTACACTCAGAGTTCCCTAACCTTAAGAAGTTGGTTGGCATCAAACGACCTTCTAGAAAATGACTACCTAGCCTATCATCTTAAGTATGATAGCAGCTCAAGGTCGTTTTCGTCTGGAACAAGTTGACGTTGACGCGTAAACTTCATCAATCGATGGAACACAAAAAATCCGCTTACTGCTGAGCGTAACGCGCTGCTGATCTTAAATGGGAGCGAAGTTGCGCAGACCTCGTTATCGATTAGTCAGCTGGTTTCTATCTAACAGAAGAAAGCTGTCAAAAGCACAACATCGACGCAGGCCGCGAAGAAAGTGTCAATCAGCTCGCTTCTAAGATGCTACGGCCAATCGTTCGTATACGGGTGTTAACCCCACAAACAATTATGGCCAGACAGGCGATCGTTTCTGCGGCCACTCATGTACGACTAACTGCCTAAGCGGCCAATTGCTAAATTGTTTACCACGGAATAAGTGGGCGCATCAAGCGCGGCCTTATGACAACCTTAATTCAGCGCTTAACTACTGCTTCTCAGAAGACGGTTGAGCGGAGCCTCTGTTAAAGAATTGGCGTGTGGTCGTTCTAGTATTCGAAAAGCATCATTCTTCTCTACGGGTTGCTGCTAAAGGCGGTAGGTGTGGTTTGCTTCCTGAATTGAATGGCAAACTAACCGGTATGGCTTTCGCCGTTATTCGCTTCCTGTTGACGTTTCTGGTGTTGATTTAACTATAGAATTAAAACAAGGAAGCATACACATAACGAAGAAATCTGTGCAGAAATCAAAACGCATCTGAGACTGGGCGATATGAGTAAGACGGCTTTCTTACAGCCGATGGAGAAAAGTTGTATCTTCTGAACTTCCGTGGGCATTGGTTTCTCATCCATGTTTGACGCTGGCGCTGGTATTGCATAGATGGCACCGTTCAATCAAGTCTAGTATTGCTTGTAGCTAGATGGCACCTTCATCAAGTTAGTTTCTTGGTACGACAACGAGTACGGTTACACTTGTAATATGCTTCGCTTAGTTGAGCACGTTTCTGCTTAATATAGCGCTTAGCCGAGGTGATTAACATCACCTCATGAAGATTAGCCCGTGTGAAGCATTGCCTCATGCGGGCTACTTCTAAAGCCCTCTGATAAACGCTATTGAGCACCCGTCCTAGCGTTTATCAGATAGCTTTATAATTTTGGCTCCTAAAGTATCCACTTTTCTATAGTGCTTACTTTAGCTTCCTCACCCATTCACTCACGGAGAATCCACATGTCTATCATCAATATGACTGATCTTGATCTTTCTGGTAAGCGCGTTCTAATTCGTCAAGACTTAAACGTACCCATCAAAGATGGCAAGGTAACGTCAGACAAGCGTATTCGTGCATCCCTACCTACGATTGAAACCGCAATCGCAGCAGGTGCTCAAGTTATGATTATGTCGCACTTGGGTCGTCCTACAGAAGGCACACCTGAAGAGCAATATTCTCTAGCGCCTGTTGCGGCACACTTGAGTGGTCTGCTAGGTAAAGAAGTTAAGCTAGTCACTGACTACCTTGAAAACAAGCCAGAGTTAAATAATGGCGAGGTGGTACTACTTGAAAATGTACGCTTCAATCATGGCGAGAAGGCCAACGATGAAGCACTCTCTAAGCAGTACGCCGCCCTATGTGACGTGTATGTGATGGATGCCTTTGGCACAGCTCACCGTGCGCAAGCATCAACTCATGGCGCAGGCCAATTTGCCCCAACAGCAAGCGCTGGCCCATTACTTGCGGGTGAGCTAGAAGCACTTGGTAAAGCATTAGACAATCCAGCACGCCCAATGGTGGCATTGGTGGGTGGTTCTAAGGTTTCAACTAAACTCACCGTACTGAAGTCACTTTCTAAAGTGGTAGACCAACTAATCGTAGGGGGTGGTATTGCTAATACCTTTATTGCTGCGGAAGGTCACAATGTAGGTAAATCACTTTATGAAGCGGATCTTGTTGAAACAGCCAAAGAACTAAAAGCAGCCGCAATTGCCAGTGGCGGAGATATTCCTGTTCCTACAGATGTTGTTTGCGGTAAAGCATTTTCTGAGACCGCAGAACGAACATGAATCTTTGATATTGGCCCTGATTCAGCCGCAGCATTGGCGGAAATATTAAAAATGCTGGCACGATCGTCTGGAATGGTCCTGTTGGCGTATTTGAATTCGATCAATTTGGTGAGGGCACCAAGGCGATTTCAATGGCTATCGCAGAATCCGCAGGTTTTTCAGTTGCAGGCGGCGGCGACACCTTGGCAGCCGTTGATAAATATGATATTTCTGATCGCGTATCTTACATCTCAACAGGTGGTGGCTCGTTCCTTGAATTTCTAGAAGGAAAAAAACTCCCCGTTGTTGCGATGCTGGAAGAACGCGCTAAAGGATAATCAACTTTAGTCATAAAGCCGCATTAATACAGTGATTATACTGCGGCTTTATCAATAACAATAAAAGGACAGCATCTTCCATGAGAAGAACAAAAATAGTAGCTACACTTGGCCCCGCAACGAGCACGATGGAATCCATCGAGGCCATTATCAAAGCAGGTGTTAATGTAGTCCGTCTAAACTTTTCGCACGGCTCAGCAGAAGAACACAAAGAACGTGCCAAAATGGTTCGCACAGCGGCCGATAAAGCCAAACGTTCTGTGGCTATTCTAGCCGATTTACAAGGCCCAAAAATTCGTATCGAGCGCTTCAAGGATGGGAAAATTTACCTACAAGCGGGCGATGAATTTATTCTGGACGCAGAATTAGACCGCAATGCGGGCGATAAAAAACAAGTTGGCTTAACCTACAAAAAACTACCTCAAGACGTACGCGTTTCCGACGAATTATGGTTGGATGACGGACGACTTGTATTAAAAGTTACCCGTATTGATCAAGCAAAGATTTACACCACCGCATCAACAGCTGGAGCTATCAGACAATAAGGCGTTGTCAAACCGGCGTGGCGGTGGCCCTGTTCTGCGGAAAAAGCCACTCACTGAAAAGCGACAACGCGTACCATTATAACGGCTTGCCGAAATCGGCCGTGGATTTTTCTAGCCGTATCGCCTTCCCACGTAACGCGTGATGATTTACGTCTTAGCTAGAAAAATTGCATGGAGCCAAGAGGCCGCGAAAAGCGCCATTTCGTTGCCAAGCGTTGAACGCGCTGAATCTATCGTACAAGCAGTGCCTGGATGACGTAATTGAAGCATCTGACATCAATTATGGTCGCTCGTGGCGCATCTAGGTGTAGAGATTGGTGATTGCAACTCCAGAAGCACAAAAAATGCTCATCAAACGCTCCAGAGAAATGGATAAAGCGGTTATCACCGCGACCCAGATGATGGAAAGCATGACCACCAACCCTATTCCTACCCGTGCTGAAGTTTTTGATGTTGCCAACGCAGTAATGGATGGCACAGATGCTGTAATGCTCTCAGGTGAAACCGCTACGGGACACAATCCTGCCTTAGTTATCGCGACCATGAGTAAAATTTGCGAAGAAGCTGAGCATTCAGCGCAGGTTTCCAAGTCTAGTCATCGCATTGGTGAAGAATTTCAACGCAGCGATGAAGCCATTGCCATGGCCTCGATGTATATCGGCAACCAAATGAACGTCAAGGCCGTGGCATCACTAACGGAATCTGGGGCAACCGCTCGTTGGATGTCACGTATTAGCTCTAGCTTACCTATTTATGCTCTGACATCGCATAAATCAACCTGTCGCCGCGTCAGTATTTATCGTGGTGTATACCCGATCTATCTAGCAAATCCCATTGCAGATGCAAAAGAAGCAAACCGCATCTCAGTAGAGCATCTTGATTAGCGAGAGCGCCAGGTACAGGATGGCTGATTTAGTTGATCGTCCACAAAAGCGCGAATTTTGATGGAATAGATTGGTTTGGTACTAACATGCTGCATAGATTCTTCGCTGTTGCGTGATCACATCGACGGCCTAAACCCTGCCTGCTTTCCACAGTGTGAAGTAGAAGTTTTCACGCTGGTTTAGAAAACTTCTTGTAAGATGAAGAATGATAGCAATGAAGCCACTTTACTCTCATATCGAAATGTTTAATTGCCAAATCCCATGTTCTATTTTTAATATTAAGGAGGCACCAAATGGCCCTAATTTCAATGAGACAACTACTCGATCACGCAGCAGAAAACGGCTACGGATTGCCAGCATTCAACGTAAACAACATGGAGCAAGTACACGCGATCATGCAAGCTGCTGATGCAGTAGATTCTCCCGTTATCATGCAAGGTTCTGCTGGTGCACGTGGTTACGCAGGCGAGCCTTTCTTACGCCACTTAATTACTGCGGCTACTGAAATGTACCCACATATTCCTGTTGTTATGCACCAAGATCATGGCTCTGAACCAGCAGTATGTTTGCGTTCCATCCAGTCTGGCTTCACATCAGTAATGGATGTGTTTCATTAGAAAGCAGATTTGTAAACCTGCATCATTTGAGCGAGTACAATGTAGCGGTAACAGCTGAAGTAGTTAAAATGGCTCATGCTGGTGGTGTATCAGTTGAAGGCGAATTAGGTTGTCTTGGCTCACTAGAAACAGGTGAAATGGGCGAGGAAGACGGACATGGTGCAGAAGGTAAACTAGATTTAGACATGCTGTTAACCTCTGTTGAAGAAGCAGCTGACTTTGTTAAAGCAACAAACGTAGATGCACTAGCAATCGCTATCGGTACATCACACGGTGCTTACAAATTCACTCAAGAGCCTACAGGCGAAATCTTGCGTATTGATCGTATTGCTGAGATTCACGCACGTCTTCCTAACACACACCTTGTTATGCACGGTTCATCATCTGTTCCACAAGAATGGCTATCAATCATCAACAACTACGGTGGTGATATGGGTCAGACTTACGGCGTACCGGTTGAAGAAATCGTACAAGGTCTTAAGAGCGGTGTTACAAAAGTTAATATCGATACTGATCTTCGTATGGCATCTACAGGTTCTATACGTAGACACTTACAAGATAATCCATCAAACTTTGATCCACGTAAATTCCTTAAAGAAGCAACTAACGCAATGAGAGATATTTGTCAGGCGCGTTACGAAGCATTTGGTGC